TGTGGTCGGCTGGGCAAGAAATGCATTATTTATGTACGTTTGCCGCGCGTCCTGGCCCGAAAGTCAGCAATTTGGCATCATGACATGGCCAGCATCCGAGTTGCTCCAGGTCCAGACTTAGTACCAAGCCCAAAACAAAACCCAGACCCTGGACCCTGGAAACCAGAACCACAACCAAAACCAAAGCCAAGCTCCGATGATGCACGCTTGTCAGCCGCCTGCCAGTCACCGGAGAAATGAGAAAGGGCCTCCGTCTCCGTCTTTGAATGTCTGGTTAGCGTTTTTGCCCGGCCTGTTTGTTTTAGCGCCTGTTGTGACAGCCGTCTGCCAGGTTTTTGGCACTTGAAATGGCCGAAACGCTGCCCGAGTGTCGGGGGACTGACACAGATGATAAACCGAAGCACACTCATTACGCACCGATCATGATCACGGGCTGTCAATAGGAACAGCAGTGCTCCGCTAGGTGAAATGAAAGGGCTTCGCGGCATGGGATAGAGTAGATTCTGCGGATTAGGTGTCAGAAAAGTGGTCAAGGGTCTAGGCCTTAAAATAAATAACACTTGTTATTCATAGAATAAGTTTACTTAACTTACTACACACAACAAAAAGTTATGATTACATGTAAATATGATCCCATCGATTGGTATATCATTGGAATACCTAGAACCTAAGTTCTAACTCTTAAATAAATTTTTTAATAATTTATATAATAAGTAGAAAATAGTACAATTTATTACAAGAATAATCTGTTAGACATGACACACTATCTGATTGGTTAGGGTACTTCAAAGACACGACAGAAAAACTTAAGAGATCAGGAAACCAAAGGATGGACCAAAATGGAGCCACCGAGCCAACTAGCACCGACTTGGACTACAATCGCTGACCAAACTTGGCTCGGACACTTGCCAACTGTAAATGTTGTACAAGTTGAGACCCAGATTGATTGCTAATGTCAACCGACGAGCAGATGAAAGATTCTCGGTTCTCACAACTCGTGGGCTAATTATGTTCTAGACAGAGTCTGGCACGGCCAGTGAATCGACAGAGGGAGGCGGTGTGCTGGGGCCGCAATTGAAAACATGAATTCATATTTAATTCCCCCAGCTCGAGAACCTCGCAGCCATTCGGCCAGTCTCCCAGCAATTTATTTGGCCCGGCTAATGAAGTCATTTGGCGGCGAGGCCGCAGGTTCAACGTGATTTGCCTTTGATTAGCATTGTGGCCCAATAAATTGACTGTCAATCCTGGCCGGGCCGCTTAGTCGGGCGCTGTTTTATGGCCGGCCATTTGCTAACCCACGGCAAACATTTATTTGTTTGCCCAGGCCCTCGATCTGGATTGCCATCGCCATCGCCATGGCAATTGGCGATTGTTCACGCCATGGTCAGATCCTATCGGGCGACTCAATCACTGGGCAGAACGGACTCTGGGATGACGCACAGAACCAGGACATATGGAAATAAATATGTAAATAAAAACCTTAGTTGATCTAGATTCTAGAAGATGGAGTGTTTTATATGGCTAGACATTGTTTGCGGGGGCGAAAAAGTATTTCCAAAAAACCAGGAAATATTCCTAGATCTGGAATTTACCAAATATATTTTATACATAAATTCTATGTTTTCTTACTTACTTTTGTACTTTTGTATTAATTAATATTAAAGGTTTTTTTAAAAAAATATATTTAAATTTAAATAAGAAAATAAAATACCATAAATGCCAAAACTAAAATAGGTCTAGCCTATTTGAGATCAAGATATATTTAATTGAAATTTAGTTATTTAGTTTACAGATTTTAAACTTGATTACGATATTAAAAGCTCTACAAAGTATTTTCTGAGTGCAGCTATCTATGTAGATATATACATAACTGTTCCTGTTCGCAGTTGGGTCGATAACCCGACCTCCGCACAGAGTCCCCAGTTGGAGGCGATCGCTGTATCTCTCGCCGGCATCTGTGGGATTATGTAAAACCCCGGGTACGCCCCTCATCTAAGCTCCCCCCTCCCCAAGATTCCTGGTCCACTTCCAATTCCAGCTTTGTGCATTGTTGTTTCGGCCTGGCCCACGCAATTGATTTGATTTTTGTGACACAATTGAATTATTTATTGGATTAATGCCCATACAGAAAGCGAGCAGGGAGCTTAAAATTTGAGATCACGGCGGAAGTTGCTTACAATAACAGTTCCACTCCGGTTTTTTGGACCGACATGCCATCCAGTATGTAAAAAAAAGACCCGGGAATGCCATTCACCAAAGGTCGGACATAGACGGCCCCCTGGGATGCCAGATCTCAAACACTTGGCAATTTGTTACGATAAGACAAAAGTGTCAAAAGCCATGCATACGCACAACAAGCCTGTCAATTAAGGCGAGAAGAGCCGTTAACAAAGGCCCGGCGAAGAAACCCCTGTTGATTTATGCCGGAGAAGCAAGGTTTTTAGTCGCTCCACCCACGAAGAGCTTTACGTGAGCTCTAGGGGTTGATTTGATACTTTTTTTTTTTTTCTTTTTTTTTTTTTTTTTTTTTTTTTTTTTTTTTAAAAAAATAAAAACCCCCCCTCTCTCAAATTTTTTTTTTTTTTTTTTTTTTTTTTTTTTTTTTTTTTTTTTTTTTTTTTTTTTTTTAATTTTTTTTTTTTTTTTATAATATTTTTTTTTTTTTTTTTTTTTTTTTTTTTTTTTTTTTTTTAATTTTTTTTTTTTTTTTTTTTAAAAAAATTTTTTTTTTTTTTTTTTTTTTTTTTTTTTTTTTTTTTTTTTTTAAAAAAAAAAAAAAATTTTATTTTTTTTTTTTTTTTTTTTTTTTTTTTTTTTTTTTTAAAAAAAATTTTTTTTTTTTTTAATTTTTTTTTTTTTTTTTTAAATTTTTTTTTTTTTTTTTTTTATTATTTTTTTTTTTTTTTTTTTTTTTTTTTTTTTTTTTTTTTTTTTTTTTTTTTTTTTACAAAAAAAAATTTTTAATGTAAAAAAAAAAAAAAAAAAAGGGGGGGGTGGGGGAAAAAAAATAAATTATTTTTTTTTTTTTTTTTTTAATTTTTTTTTTTTTTTTTATTTATTTCTCCCCTTTTAAAAAAAAAAAAAAGGGGGGGGTTTTTTTTTTTTTTTTTTTTTTTTTTTTTTTTTTTTTTTTTTTTCTTTTTTTTTTTTTTTTTTTGCCTTTTCTGCCCGGTTTTCAAGCTGGGGGATGGCAGCACTGATTTGATACTCTATTCAGGACTGGTGGATCAAGTATTGCCCTCTTATTGAGTTCAAGAAAGATTGAGTATACAATTTCCAACACATTGATACTCTCGGAAAATAATATTAAAATAACTAGTTATAAAAGTTATAAAAAGTTAAGTAAACATTATAGTTAAATTATAAAACGTATATAGATCTTTAATATTTTTGTATATAATGGTATTGTTTTTTACGGGTACTATTTCTTTGGACAGTAATGCTTTGGATATTGATATTTCTCTTATTGTAGATATAATATTTTCCAGGAATATTCCAATCTCCATCAAAGATCACATATACCCTTTTATAGGCCCACGGCAGGTGGCGCTGCTGAATCATTTGATCGTGGTTTGACTCGATCGCTAATGCCCAAGACAAACAATGAGTCGACCAAATATGAATGTGAAATTCTTATGCAAAATTACTTTATAATTTAATTTTTATTTGATTTTTGTGATTTTATTGATTTGCCGGACACTCCCAAGCGGCTTTTGTAGCGTTCCCCCCGAAAGGCCCCTTACCAAACTTCAGGCAGCTGTCTTTCTTATTTTTATCTGGTCTGTAAATCTTGACTTTTTGCCTTCTTTTTTTTGGTGGTAGAGGTAACCAGCCAACAATCCACAATTGATTAAAAATGTAAATTGTTTATTTATTTTAAACGATTTTTATCCACATTCGAGCATATGCGCTGAGCCGAGAGCTTTGTTATGTAAAAAATGCTACGGGGCCGAAAAATATGAATGACTCTACGAATATGATTGTTTATGGGACTTTTCTGACCAGAGTCCCGGCCTTTGGACAATGTTTGCCTTACCTTCGGATTGCGGACCTTTGGGCATGGATTAAGTCATAAAAATCCCATAAAAAAGTTGTCGAAAAATCGTGTAACCCGACTATATGCCATATGCCGTATGGCTGTATGGGGTCGGTGCACATAAAAGGTTCTTTCGCCCATTAAAAGTTGCCTCCATAAATGTCATAAACTGTTGATCAGATCGCATAGCTTGGCCCCGTTTTATGGCCTGATTGGGGTTCGACGGAGGTGCCATCTCTGGAGCCATATAAATTTCACGACTTATCAGCCGCGTCGGCTACCGTTGACAATCCAGCGGAGAGCCTGGTGAAAATCACTTTCCACAACGCCGCTGCACTTGAGAAAAATCAAATTGAAAATTTGAAATCTCGAATTTAACGCTTTTCAAGTTGCGGCATTTGTCAAGTGGCAGGGATCGTTGTTGCTACAAGTGGAACAAATAGACAAGGCCCACGAGAAATCAAGGTGTGTGGCAGCTGAAGTGGCCCAAAAAAATGAACGATTTTCGATTTACCCTGAAATATGATGAGGCGAATTTCCGAAATATTTTGGTTTTCTTTAATTAAACCCCATTGTGCCGAGTGACAGAAAGATAGAGAGTGCTGATGGCAAGGGTATCGATAAGGCTAAATTGTAGCAACTCTGGAAATGAATATCAGCCAGTGTATGTTAAATAAATAAAAGTTTAAAAAATAAGTCTTTAATATACAATGAATCATAGCAATCATATATTACATTACTGATGTCTTAATTATTATTATTTAATCGTTGAATAATATCTAAAGATCAAATCCCCGTTTATTTTCTGACTTCTTAGACAAAAGGATAATAGTTTTAAAAATTTGCAAACCAGTTTGATATATATTAAGTGCTCATAAAATAATAGTCATTATAATTATATTGTAATAATGCCGTTGGCGAACCGACCAGTGAAATTGTATATAAATTGTCGTATTAAAAGTTAATCCTCCAAATAGGTAAAATACACATTTGTGGCGAACTGCGGCTTACGATCGAATAGCCAATCCCCTAAAATTAGGTATTCTCCAGAGGGCCATGGAAGGGGAATATGGATGTCATAAAAATCGCTGACCGTTTGTAGTCCCTAAAAATAGGAAAGTAGGTATTTCTTTGATGAATATACGGTTGTCAAAACACCAATTAAAATTCTTACCACATAAGGACAGGTGTGATTTACAGTGGATACATCCTTTATCAAATTTAAAAGAATCTTTAATAGGGGGTGATTATTTCTTCGCATAAATTTACAGGCATCAACAGTGATATCAAACAAAAATGGCTTATAGCCATTGGCCTTCTTCATCAGCTTCACTTTAAGAAATATATTATTAGCTGGCTCCAGGAGGGTTGCGTTTATATGCAAGCTAGTTTTGTTTCGGGAATAGGCCTTCAGACGACAATAATGAATGACAACCCACGACTTGTTATATGACTCACAAATGACATTTGTCATTTTTACAAAGGGTGCCTCCTAGAAACTTATTGTTAATGGATTTAAGTAAAGTTACAGAAAAATTCTTACACTGCATATTATAAGAGCAAAAACTCCGATCAATCCAAAAACTATTAACTTTGAATCCATGGCTTTGCGCTGAAAACTGAATTATGAATTCGTGGCGAAGTACTACAAAATCAATAATGAGTTGTTTTTTGATATTGAAACCGCGACAACCTAATAGGTATTGTAATTTCGAAACCGAATTTAATGCACATTTGTTTATCAAGATAATAGTATAATTATATTGGATTAATGAGAGTGGGGAAACTGACAGGTTAAATTTTTGACTATCAATAACCACATACCTATTAAAAAATGGTTTAAATAATAATCATTCATTAACTGAACTTTTTGGCCGCTAGGTGACGCTTTGCCTCGCATTTCTTGTGTAACGAGTATCTGATAGTCGAGGCACTCAACTGTAGACTTCTCTCTTGTTTTCATCTCGATTTACGTTGCTAATCGAAAGTTAGTGGGGCCTCCAGTTTTTAATTAAGCGCGATTCATGTTGATAGTCCGCCAGTGGCAGTGCGTCCAAATGTGAAGCGTCAGAAGCGTTTAAAATTCGCTTAATTCACGGCCTGATGCGTTGCGACAAATGCATCCACCTTGGGGTGGACCGCTTTTTCGGGGGCAACACCTTGGATCCCCTCCTACCCCTTCAATACCTTTATTACCCTCGGAAGCCGCAACAACCACATGCCGTGCTGGAAAGGACCTGGGTATTCTTGGTATTCTTTGTTTTTTCGACTGCCCGGTGTTCGGTTACACATTCGATCATCGGGTTTCAAAGGCCTCTGCCTTTGCTTCTGCCCCGACGAGGAGTTAGGGCTGGGGGAGATTCATTTGCATTTATCTAAACCATGTAGCCATAAACATAATCGGGGGACAAACTTTCCCAAAAATGCGCATAAATTAATACAGTTTATTTATCAGTTTATTAATGGCCGCAGATTAAGACATCAGGGCGACCTGCTGCTCGCCGAGAATTCTGTTTCAGGTATGAAATTTTTCACCCATCACAACAAATGACTGAATCTTCGGAGAGGCCAACGGAATTCAATTCGGTTTCGGTCTCCTGCTGTGAATTTATGCGAAAAGAATCGAACGCGCTGTCGCCTCGAGAGCTATATGTTTGGGCTATAGTGTGCGGATCGGGGGCTATATCTCTGCGTCGCAGTGCATTCATATTTAAAACAAAGTGTCATATGTCATAATGGCACCGGAGTTGAATGGCTCTCACTCGGGCGGACCGATCCCTGGCCAAAATGGTTGCCTGGCGCCATTTTCTCTGTTTTTATTTTTTTATTTACTTTTTTTTCGTGTTCCAGCGGCAAGTGGCAATTACTTTCACTGTGGCAATTTCGGAGGGTCTCCAGAAATACGTGTAGCGTACTGCAGAAGGCCGAAGAAAAAAGAGTGGCAGAAGCAGTAGAAGTTAATGATGTTGCCACATGCTTTTTATTGGTGGTATTCCCCCTTGATGATGATGATGGCCGACCGGCAGTGGCAGTGGTGGCCCCTCCTGCCACTTAGTCTTTCCCCTGGCCTCCCTGCCACCGCAGATGTGGCACCTACCCCAGCCCCTCCCCCAGAAGCCCCTCATAAACGACTTCAATTACATGCGAATGAATGCCCGAGTGTGCGTCTGTATCTGTGTGCACAAGGCGGGGCTCCGGCAAAATGGCGTTTTGGCCAGCTCGTTCTGCCTCTCCTACTTCTGGGCCCGTTTTGCCGACGGTATTTGCCACTGACGCACAACTTTCATCTGACGGATCGCTCCGAGGAGCGGAGATCGGTGCCATGTGCTACTCATCAGCTAACGAGCAAATCGATGCCGGGGACAATGTCGCCGAAGTTCTTATCGCAGCCGCTCGAAGACCGAGCCCAACTGATGCAGCTCTCCAGCGGCATCTCCATCTCCAGCTGCATCTTTGGCCAGCCTACTTTGTGTTTGTGCTCCGCGTTGCTCCCAGCGATTGCTCACACTTACACTGCTAGAAATTGGTGGGTTTTGGGAATTAAAATAATTGAGGAAAATAACAAAAAACTCTTCTAGGTTCACTTCAAAATTCTACTTTGAGTTGGGAAGCTTAAACGATATAAGAAAGGTATAAGCTATAAAGTCAGATGATCAGTTTTACAATTTCTCCTTAGTTCTTAATCAATTTTAGTAACAATGTTTATCCTAAACATTATTTTTAAATTTATGTTTCAAAAATTAATCAATTTCAAAAAACAAAACAACATTTGTCCCACTATTACATTATTTTATTTATGGCAAAACTATTATATATTTTACCTTCCAAATTTAAATACAATTTAATTATGCTAAAAATAATAGATTAACTAAAATTAATTTTAGAGGTCTTTTAAATCTTCAATCTTTTTTATAGGGTACCCTTCCTTTCTCTCAGTGCACATAAGGCTCGATTGAACGCTGATCGCAATCGCAAAGGCTGCCAAACGCTTCTATGCAAAGTGCCTGCGATTCCGCCCCTTCCACGTCCAGCTCCTCCTGTTCCTTCTGCTCCTCTTTCTCCTCCTGCTCCTGCTCCTCCCCCTGATCCGCTGGCAGCAGAAGAACCTGTTGCTGCTGCTGGCCTGGGCTGGGCCTAATATCAAGATGACCAAGGGGTGAACAAATTCATTCAGTCATTCATCGAAACAAATTGGTTGACTGATGATGACGACGACGACGCGATGCAGCCGAAGAAGAGGTGGAGCTGAGGATCTGGGGAGTTGGGCAGTTGGATCGGGAGAGGTATGCCAGTGACAGGCTTTAACTTGTCAATCTGGTTATGTCAATTTGCTGTTTGTTTTTTGCCACCGCCCCACCGTCGCACTCCCCAAACGCAGTGTCTATGTGGGCCGAAGATCCCGAGGTCCCTCGATCCAGGCTCCATTTGCGTGTCGGGGGATTTAACAATTTTATTTATTCGTCGCCGGACGCATTTCCAATGCACACTCGTGTCATCCGATAAGCCAGCCGGGTCTAACAATTACTATCGCATAAATAACCGTTTACTAGCCGGGTACCGACTGCATCTGGAATCAAATCTACGATTGCCACACACGACACACTACATACAGCCTATAACATATAACATAACACGGCGCACGGGGCGGCAGTGGCGACACAACCAAATCAATTTGTATGCGGACGTTTTTCGGACGAACTTAACCCGAAACTTTCTGTTAAATGGATGTTTATTGCGCCCCAGGGGGAGGGGCTGGGGCTGGGTATCCCGATGGGCAGGGGCGGAGGCAGCGGGAGGGGCGTGAACCAATTTACGCGGCAAACGCATGCGCACCGACGTCGATATCAAACGCCCATCTCATCGGGACTGAGCGGGGGAGGCTGTTCTGCACAGCGAAATAAAATAAGTATTTTTACCTCTTCCTAGGCTCCAAGAAATTGCAGAAATATATAATTACTTTAAAGAGTTTTCCTTATAATTTAAATATTTTAAATGTGGAATATTGTGAAGAAAAAATTTTAAATCTTCTTTCAATTAACTTTATACATTTTCGTTGACTTCTTTAATTTACATTTTTTTTACTTGTACTTTAATTTTATAATTCTTTATTTAAATGCATGTTATCGTATTAACTGGTCATGACAAAAAATATTACCTGTATTTTGAAGCAAACATTTAAAGTACCAGGAACTTTAAAATATTCTTATACCTTAAAGAATTATGAAAAACATGTTAAGTACAAAACATGGTTTTAATTATATATATTTCTTGTTTGCCAATCAAAAATAATATACTTTCTTTATTAACGATGTTTTATATTCAGATGTTTTTATTCCAGGTAGCTTTTATATCCTCTAATTTAACATATTTCTAGCATATGTAATTTCTATTCCCAATTGATAAATTTAAATTTTTCCCAGTGTTCTCTAGAAAGGTGTGTGCAGTGCAGATCGGTGCAGTGCTCACCTCACTCGGTGGGTGTGCGGATTGGATAGATTCTCTGGGGTCTGGTCTCTGGTCTGAAGCCTCTAGTCTGAAGCCTCTAGTCTGAAGTCTCCAGTCTCCGATCGCTGCACGCCATGCGGTGGGGCGTGCGGGACCCATGGCATTTGCAACAATTGCATAAATTTCGCATTTTTATGACTGATAGTGTAAGAAATAGGCGTGGCACATGTGAGACGGCGATGCCAACTATTTGGAGCTGCCGGAGTCCGATTCTCGGAGCAGCGGGCAATTGAATTTCGCCCGTGTCATACATGAAATATACTCGTACCCGTGCTCGTACTTCTTGCCATTGCCAGATAGACCGATGGACAGTTGGAATGCCCCGGTCCTGTGGGTCTCAGTCTCATCTTCCTTTCAGCCATAGTATCTACCAGCTTTGATCAATTGGGCGTTGCCACGATGCAACATGCGACGTCGACGGCAGCAGAGAAGGTTTCTTCAGCAGCATCGGCGGCTGAGTAATGGCCGTCAGGCGCCCGAGGACATCATTTCCATAATGTCCTTCACAGGGCAGCTCCGAAGCTGCAGCCTCTCAGGTGCACCGATGAACTATGCATTTATGTATGCAGCCGAGAACCGGCGGAGTGGCAGCTTGTAACAGATTTGTATCGCATTTTATATGCCACAATTTTCGTTTGATATTTATGTCGATAATAAAATTAAGATGATGAGCGAAATTGCACTCTGAGCGGTGCATGAAAGGGGCGGCGACTTCCGAGGCTCCCCGAGCACATACAGTGTTTTTGTATATAAACACATACAGATATATATATATTTGGATGGGGCAGGGGAATTTGGCCATCCCCGAGGGGCACGAACGCAGATGCGAGCAACCAATCAAGTGCAAGGGGCAGCTGTCGCAGGACCAGATCAATCTTCGGTCATTTGCGCCGTTGTACTCCTCGATTAACTCGATGAGAAAGCCCCGAAAAAATTCTCCACTCGAATTCCCCACTTTTTGTGCCAGCCCCAAGCTGAGAAGAGAACTTAACTGAGTTTTCAGATTCTGTTATTAATTTGCAAATAAATTTGACCTTATCTCGGGCTCTTTCGTTTGCTGCCCAATTGAGGGCCTAAAATATTAACAACCAGGAATGAAATCGTTATTTTTGATTTCTTGGCAAGGTGTCCAATAAATGTTTGAGAAATTAAACCAATAATAGTCCAACGTCATGAAATGACATACCGCGTTGAGATAGCAAACTTACATTTCAAATTAAATTATAAGCCCCTATAAAAAATGCAAAATATTGCGACTATTAGTATTCGAACATAGATTGGCAGAATTTAAATTTTTTGTGTTGATATACCCGGAAGTTTTTTGGATTGTGGGTTCTAAGATAATCACACAAATAATGGTAATTAAAAAATAAATTTGTTTGAACTATGCTTTCTAGGGATATAAAATCAATCTAAGAACATAATATTTCTATCATATACTTAGAACTCATCTGAAAGTCCATTGTAATCTGCAAAAATTTCGTAGAGTAATATATAAATTATCATATTATTGCACTCGCTTTATAGATTTTCACCGGGGGAATTGCCATTTGCATAGTGGATGGACCAATTTGCCTTAATTTCGTTTTGCTCTCGGGGTGCCGAAAGTTATTGAAGCCATCTGAAGTGAAGATCGATGGGCAGGCAAAGTGCAGAGCGGCAGAGGTGCTCCGGTGGACCCACCTTCCCGGGCGAAGGGAATCGATTCTGATGGGAGATTAGCAAAGAGCTGCGGGCGAAACAAGCCAACCGGGGCTAAGTCGCCGTGTTCTGGAGATCTGGAGTATCTATACTGGTTAATAACAATAATCAGGCATGGCGAGTACAAGCCAAGTACATGTCGCTGCTGCTGCTTTTCAGATTTTCAGCTTTTGGGGAAGCGATTTGAGGGGACCGATGGGATCACATCCGGATGACGGCCATAACAACAGCTGTCAAAGGCCCAAAGATGAGCTCGATGGCCGACGACGAGGATGATGATGATGAACCACCAGCAACATACCACTCGTATGGGAAAGGGATGGCTGAAATGGGGGGCCCAATGATCGACTAGAGACGTTCGGCTGGGAATTTCCAGGGCCCCGGGTGCAAATTACCACGAAAACAATTTCTGTTGCTGCTACAACAGCAGAAGCAGCAGCAGCAACATTGGCGGCATCAACATCGGCTGTACATCGGCTGCAGATTGCCAGGATAAAGTATGTCTGTTGAAAGCATGCGTCAGAAAGGATTGAAACGGGCGATCATGAGGCGACAGAGACGGCTGCACTTGGCCAGAAAGAGAGGGAGAGACTCCAAGAGAGCTTCTGTTGCTGCTGCGGTTGCTGTTGCACTTGCAGAGGCGTTGCTGCTGCTGCATGTTGCTGCTGTGTCTAGCTGGCAGATGTCTGCAATGTTTTTGCCGCACTGTCATTGATGAAGCATAAAATTATGGGAGGCAACATGGCAACTTGGGAAAAAGTGGAAAAAATGGCCGCGCGATGGATTAAAGTCGGTTGGTTGGCTGGCTGCAAAAAGTTCTCAGGAGGGGAAGAGAAGCAGGTTGCAAGCTGTAAGTTGCAAGTGCATAATTAAGCCTTCCGCCAGCGTGTTTTGCATGGCCGCGATTTTGCAAACTCGAACGGCGATTGGCTGCCGTGATTGGCCAAGTAGCAAAGTAGCAAAGTTGCCAAGTTGCCACTGGCGGTGGCGGTCAAGCTCATAGATCATTGCACTTGCTCGGCGGCATTCCAGCGTTTTCCCCAATCCAGAGCGGCTTGACCACCGCTCCTTCTATTGGCATGTGTCGGCATCTGCATTGTTCAATGACTTTTCGGGAATTAGCCAAAATAAAAGAAAAGACAGAGAAGCCGCCAGCAGCATATCAAAGTTGCCAATTTCGATAACTGTTGCAACACCTTGACACGGACACGCAATCTCCGAGCTCCAAACTCCTGATCCCTGTCG